GAATGATGGGTGGACGCAGAGGAGGATTCGGTGGAATGATTAGTGGACGCAGAGGAGGATTTGGTGAAAGAATGGGTGGACACAGAAGAAGGTTCGGTGGAAGGATGGGTGGACGCAGACGGTTTGGAGGAGGGATGGGTGGACACAGAGGAGGATTCGGCGGTAGACGTGGAGGATCCTTCAGTGGACGTCGGTTCAGATTCTAAACAGATCGTGTGAGCTGAAGCATCGTTGCTTTCAATAATTCAACCTAACACAAATATCGAATTATTCATCCTTCCCCTTTTTTCGTTTATATCATAGCTCGTTGAAGTAACTTTGGCTTGCGGCAGTCTATGAAGCTGAAGAAAGAAGCTTAGCATAGAACCTGTGTATTTGTGGTTTTGTATGTGTTACGTTGACTTGGCAATAAATTCTTGGTTGAACTCAGCAAATGTAAATCAAAGTATCCTCCTTTATCAGCTAATTACTTATGAAGTCGCGGTTCTGCCACTTTGGTTTTCGTAGGAAAGATGTCGCTTTCGACGCCTAAGATGGGTGGTAATACAAGGGTGATAGAATTGTGACTGAAAGGATTACATGGTATCCCCGTCATCGAATTCCACACCAAGTAATCCCAAAGGGTTTTATAAACCGCAGCCCCATTTGTAAAATGCACAACTCATTTGACAATTGTTCAGGGATGATTCGTAAGCACGCACTTCATCACATCAAGATGTCTCCCTTCTCTCGTATTGTTTAATGATGGTAAGCTACAAAAAATATGTTTCAACTTTTTTCTTGCCGTTTTTTCTTTTACGTTGAAAACTCGGTTATCGAGTTTTCCAAATAAGAACAGTCTTCGAGATGCAGACTCGACCAAATTGCTTAACAGTCCTGCCTAACTAGGTGGTGCCCAACTACAGTACCCACACTAATTCGAAAGAAAACGCAACAAGTTAGTTTCTGAATCGTTACAAACTAGTGAGATCATTACAAACTAATGATTTTCAGACGCGGATGGGAATATATTTTGATGAGAACTGAAAGTACACTCCAGAGATTTGAAGGTATGAAGTGATCAAAATATTAGGATAGCAATGAGTGGGAAGCTACTGACAATGTAGTCAAAATTGGCCTCCAGTGGACTATTTATAATCATTGCGTAATGGACGCACACATATTGCGGGAGATTCATCCCCAATAATCGAGAGAAATCAGTACACACAAACTTTTCTTATTTTGGCTGGTATTATTCGGCCACTTCTCTGTTATATCAGTGATCGAAATGAGACGAGTACAGAATTTCATATGCAGAGTATGATTTTCAGATTAGACTACGTTATTTGAGCTAAATTTCTCCTTTTGACAAACTGAAACTTGACAACAGATATAATAGTATTTCT